TTTAATTTAACCATTGACTTTTAGACAAAATACTAATTGAATCTTAGACACGAATCCAGCGTTTTCCATAACCTTGAAGGAGTTCAGATGTCGGAGAAACTCGGCGGGGAGAATCCCAGGATTTTTAGCTATGCCTAGCCATAGGCTCTAACGGGTTTCATGAAGATGAGATTCTTGGAAGTGGGGATTTCGGGAGAGTTTATAGAGCGATTTTACCTAGTGACGGAACGGTTGTAACAGTGAAATGCTTGGCGGAGAAATGGGAGAGGTTTGAGAAGACTTTTGCTGCGGAGTTGGTGGCAGTGGCTCATCTGCGTCATCGGAATCTTGTTCGGTTGAGGGGTTGGTGCGTTCATGAAGACTGTTAAGAAACGTGTATAATAGAAAATATACACAGTAAAGAAAATGCTTGCATTCATATCAGCTGGCACACTACATTTATAAGAGTGGTTTAGCTCACCACTAACCACCATTAACCATCTAACAAACTAACTGACTTAGCTAACAGACTAACCACCTCTACACGTATGTGCTGCATTGACAGCAGCCTAACATTCCTCTTGCTCTTCATTTTCTCCTATTTGACAATAATCTAACATTCCCTCTACTTTTCATTTTTGATGAAAAGATGAACACTTGAACCGGAAGTGCCGATGCTTCCTCCCGTTCACTTGAATCGGAAGTGCCGATGCTTACTTTCATTCGATTTGAATCTGAAGTGCTGATGCTTCCCTCCATTCGATTTGAATCGGAAGTGCCAATGCTTCCCTCCTTTCGATTTGAATCGGAAGTGCCGATGCTTCCCTCTGTTCGACTTGAATTGGAAGTGCCGATCCTTCCCTCCGTTCGACTTGAAACAGAAGTGTCGATGCTTACCTCTATTCGACTTGAATCAATGCAAACTTTTGATGTGAATGAACATTCAACAAAAAAATTCTAAAAAAAACTATTCTATAACAACAATGTTTTGCAGCTTAACTACTAACAATTCTTCATCCTCCTTGCACGTAAACCTTCTGCTTCATATTGCTTGGAGCAAGGGCAGTGATCTCCTTGCTCATACGATCTGCAATACCAGGGAACATAGTTGAACCACCGCTAAGAACAATGTTACCATAGAGATCCTTCCTGATATCTACATCACACTTCATGATAGAGTTGTAGGTAGTTTCATGGATTCCAGCTGCTTCCATCCCTATAGAAGATGGCTGGAAGAGGACTTCAGGACAACGAAATCTCTCACCTCCGATAGTAATGACTTGTCCATCAACTTTGAGGGTATACTCAAAAGCAGTGTTCATTAGCCCACCTTTGCATCCAGAATCACATGAACCTTTCTTTTCTGGATCACACTCATGATCGCAGTCGACTAGCTGTTGTTCGCTGAGGCTCACAAGTTTTCCGGTTGCCAAAAAGTTAGCACCTTTCAAGGCTCCTGTTGTACTAAAAGATCAGCATGATCCGCATGAACCTTGGTTTTTGACGGATGAAACAACTCATTTTTCTCTCCAGTCGAAATCTTCAGGCAAATTATCAGTAGGCAAAATCGGTGCCTCGGTCGCATCTTTAGGCAATCTCAATCTCCTTAATCCCAAATACGCCTTCCTGAACTCTCCCGGAGTCAAATCGGAGAACTGAGTCACCATGTGAGTCGTAGATGGGTCAAGCTTCTGATGACGCGCCACTCGTCTCAGGTTATACTGGAAAACCTTGAACCTGTAACCGTTCTCCTCCTGTGACACGTACGATTTCTTGAACCGCTTCTTGAACAGAGAGAAGCGATGCTCCGCTCTCAGCAGCGGTGGCTCGGCCCCATCGTGACCATACGTTACTTGTTCGATCAAAGGGTCAACTTGGAATCCCCCCGCTGTAGTACGACCTCTGACATACAAGGAAAGAACATCCTGGATGGCAACGTACATGGCAGGTACATTGAAGATCTCAAACATAAACTGCTGCTCGAGATGGAAATGCAGTGACAATAGAGCCAACGGACTCCATGCAGCGGAAGAACAACAAGATCAGGACCGTTTGGCGATTGATACCATGTTAAGAAACGTGTATAATAGAAAACATACACAGTAAAGAAAATGTTTGCATTCATATCAGCTGGCACACTACATTTATAAGAGTGATTTAGCTCACCACTAACCATCAAACAAACTAACTGACTTAGCTAACAGACTAACCACCTCTACACGTATGTGCTGCATTGACAGCAGCCTAACAAAGACCAATTGCTCTTGGTGTATGATTATATGCCGAACCGAAGCCTCGATAGAGTACTCTTTAGAAGGTCGGAAAACATGGGGACACCGGGTTTAAACTGGGAACGCCGGAGGAAAATCGTCGGTGGCTTTGCGGCTTCTTTGTTTTATCTCTACGAACAACTGGAGACTCAAATCATACACCGCGACGTAAAAACGAGCAACGTGATGCTCGACTCGCAAGTCGCAATACAATGCCCGGCTGGGCGACTTCGGGTTGACACGGTGGCTGGAACTCTAGCTCGAGTACCAAATCAAGACACCAGCGACGAAGAGACACCAATTCCGTCTGGCTGGCACGAAGACAATCGAGTACCTCCCGCTGGAGAGTTTCCAGAAACGAAGAGTGGCGACGACCAAATCCGATGTTTTCAGCTTCGGTATTGTCGTTTTGGAGGTGGTTTCGGGGCGGCGAGCAATGGACCTTACATTTCCCGATGATCAAATCATTTTGCTGGATTGGATCCGCTGGTTGTCCGATGAACAAAGGCTTTTACATGCAGGGGATAGTCGACTTGTCGATGGTCCTTACAGTGAGTTACAGGCTAGCCTGTGAACGGTTCATTCATATAGGGCTGCTTTGCACGCTTCATAATCCATTTTTGAGGCCTAATATGAAATGGGTTGTTGAAGTTCTGTCCGGTAATATTTCAGGGAAGCTTCCTACTTTGCCATCATTTCAATCCCATCCTTTATACATCACGTTGTCATCTTCATCCAACACTAGTGGAAGCAAGAGCACAACCAGTAGCCGGTCATCCACCCCCACCACCACCGCCAGCATCGACATTACCGTCTCGTTTGCTTCTTCGAACAACTTGACTGCCACTGAACAAACTGTATGAAACTGCTGAATTCGGAATCAACGGTGCAGTCGCCGAACAACTAACTTCTTTATGATCGAAACAACGAGGGAAATACCTTTCAAGGAACTCGTTGCCGCCACAGATAATTTTGCTGAATCACGAAGGGTGGCAGAGCTCGACTTCGGAACTACTTACCAAGTTTCCTTGACAACCGTCAGCACATTCTTGTGAAGAGGCTTGGCATGACTAAATGCCCTGCATTGCGGATAAGGTTTTCGAGTGAACTCCAAAACTTGGCGAGGCTCCGCCTCCGTAATCTGGTTCAGTTCCGTGGATGGTGCACTGAACAAGGAGAGATGCTCGTCGTATATGATTACTTGGCGAATCGATTGTTGAGTCACTTCCTTTCCGACAATATAAAGGGCAGCTCTGTTTTGCAATGGCAACACCGATACAACATTGTCAAATCCCTTGCTTCGGCCATTCATTATCTCCACGAGGAATGCGATGAACAAGTCATTCATAGAAACATTACCTCTTCAGCGATCATTCTCGATCCTGACATGAATCCGCGGCTTAGTAGTTTCGCTCTCGCCGAGTTCTTGACTAGAAATGATCATGGCCATCACATCCACCAACAAAAACAAATCGGTTCTCGGAATTTTCGGTTACATGTCACCAGAATACATGGAATTTGGGAAAGCGACCCCAATGCTGATGTCCATTGCTTTGGAGTGGTGGTGCTCGAGATGATCAGTGAACATATGGCAGCCGACTTTAGGCGGCCCGAGGTATTGTTGGTGAAACAGGTACATGACTTCGAGACACGAAAAAGGCCGCTAGAGGAATTGGTCGACATCAGGCTGAATGGGGAATACAATATTGAAGAACTTGTGAGACTGACAAACTAGGAGTTGCCTGCACACGATCTAAACCGAAATTAAGGCCAAGCATGGGGCAGATTGTGAGCATACTCGATGGGAATGACAAAACCTGATGGTAGAAGGGCAAAGGAAGGAGGGTATGGAGGAATGGAAACAAAGATATGCTTGTTCTTTGTCATTGGTTAGGAGAATCAATGCTTTGGGATTACATTGAAACTCACTCATGTACCATACAGGACAGGCAAGTTTTTGTTTTGATTAATGTATACTAATAAGTGTAGTGTTTATGCTTTTGGATGTATCTACTTAAAAAACGAGATGCTAATGTTTTACATGTATGGCAGTGATTAGAAAGTTTTTTTGTGCGATTTAATTTCGAGTTCGATTTGCAGAAGCTCGGACCATATTCTCTGCAATGAATTCATGTGCATGGTAACTACAAAATGAATCAGATGGATATGTTCATGTTTTCATCTCCATTCTTATCGAGAAACAAGAACGCTTCGACGATAGTATCAAAAGTGGACTGAAGCTGCTGTGAATCCATCTTCAATGTCCCAATTCACACCATTAAAGACACTTATTAATGCTTTCTGACTCGACATGCTATATGTTCTTAGACATGGAAAAGAAACAAAAATGAATATATTATCAAGTGAGGAGGAAGGTTTGATTAGGAGGTAGATGAGACATAGCATCACAATAAACTCGTTACTGTATCCCATTTAACGATTAAATTGAATAAACCGTGAACAAAGTGGTCACATTAGAGGGGTTTGGGAAATGAGGGACCTTTTGAGAACGACTTGAACTTGGGTATCCCATTTTTTAAATCTAGGAAAGTGTAGGGGTACTCCCTGTAATTTTCCATAAATGTTTGCAAAAAATTAATTAGAAAAACATATAAAAAGAGACATGTATCATGTCTAAGGTACCACATCATACATACATGTTCATAATTATGATTTTTAATCCGATTATCTAAAAGGATCTGCTTTAATAATATACAGAGTTGATACATGCAAAAACGAAAAGCATTTAGATTAACAGAACAAAAAGAAAGAAATAATAATAATAAAAAGAGACAAGGTACCATTTCTAAGGTGGAAATGTCCTGGAACTCAACTAACGTTAGGCATCCCCCATTCTACTTCTTGCCTTGTACTGCCATCCAAAGGCAATGGGTCTCCGTTACCAAACACGGGTCTCGCCCTCTTCTTCATAATACCGACCTGTGATCCAACCCCCATAGGAGAAACCGGGATTCCGCTTGAAGTCGGGCAGCTTTCGACCGAGCAATCACCAATCCGGCATGGCATATTGGAAGTAACATTGTTCTCTATAGCTACTGCAAGTTCAGACAAGGCAGGCAGTTTTATGTTACCGTGAGGGATCAGCCCTTGACAATCATTGGAAACCTTTATAGCCAGTTCCAACAGCTCTTCTCTTGCGGCTTCCAGACCGGCGGAAGCAGCGGCTTGGTCATTCAAAGCTTTACAGGCTTTCTCGAGTATAGACTGTAGGTATTTGCTTTGCGCTTCAATCCGAAGTTGAAGCCGACGCTGTACCTGCTAAGTCAAACCTTTAGTATGCCTAAAAATAACACCCCCATGAGGTCACTGAAATTTTCGATGTCGGCAAGTCGCCTTTGAAAAGTTCACTTTATCAATGTAGCATTTACAGGTCAATAATTAACTGTACAAGAACTGAAGAAAACCAAAAAAGTATAGGCAACTATAACCAACCTCCAACTGTTCATGTAGTCTTCGTTGCACTTCCATCTGCAGTTGTAGAGCTTCGGTTACCTGGTAACCCCTGTTGGGAAGACGAAATTCAGCACTCATCCAAGAAACTAGAGAAATTGTCAAACAAGATAAGAAACAACATACTCATTCAAATCTTGTGCAACCATTCTCGACGACGATGTTGTAGATGAACCGGTATCCTGACTTTCTGCAACATAAGAGGCTGAAACACCGACACATCCAATTATCAGTCAATTCTGAATACGATAGCTTATCATCTGGCACCTATCGATTGACAAATTAATTGTCAAGATTGTCAAAAAAGTGAAATTCACATTTTGATAATTTGTCAAACCCCAAAAAGTTGTGCTTTCAGTCTTCCCGAGTGTAATTACTTCTAAACAGTGGGGTACGATAGAGACCGTTCTTAAACGGCCTCTACTTGGCTGAGTCAAAACAGTAAATCGCTTGCTACTTGGTCATGAACCATAAGTACATCAAAGGTACAATACTATAAAAGGTATAAGTCATCATATTTGTTATAAAATGTGCAGGCTTTAAAGTAATAGTTATTTCGAAGAGACTAGTATGCATACCGTCCTTAGAGTTATCAGCTGATTCCTTACCGGATTGCTTCCCAAGCCGATATTTCTGTAAGTATGGGGCAACAGTGTGAATGAAAAACTTTGACGTGATATTCATGGGGGCACATAAAATCAGAGAATAAGATTATAAAGTCATTGTTGGAAATCGAGATCCATCTTTGACATATAAACGAGATGGGCCGAAGACATGACGGCACCAATATAAAGTAGGGAAAAACTTAATCATCATCGAAGAGATGACAGTAACAACAAACCTGAAGATGTGATTTCAAGTGATAGAGAGTAAGACCTTTTACTCCCATTGTTCTCATAATAGTCTTCGGGGTTGCTTCTGCGGTGGATATTGAAACAAAATAAGTTACAGCAAGATTTATAACTTCAGAATAAGAAAATGCATGAATATTAACTCTTATGATGCCATTGTCAATCAGCTAAGTTTGCTTCACATAAAATCACTCAGGATGCAGGAGAAGCATGTGTGATCAGCCTAAATAAGACATATCATTAGAGAAGTTATGATAATAATCATCTATATCTTTGGTTGATATGGACCATGCTATTGCCCGGAAATAATATCCCAACTTCCAACTCCAAGCATACAAGTCGATTTTTCTCAGCATTGAACGGAACACAAAGATTCCGGAAAGAAAGTTTGTCAGACATTAGTTGCTAATCGGCCATGAAAGAACCACCCGTAATTTGTCTTAATTTGTTATGTATACGACTTTTACAGCACTCATACAAATATGCTGCTGCCTTGTCGGCAAATCATTCCAAAATCAACTATTTTTCTGCTGGTTTCATACATCATTGACCTCACTCAATCAATATGATATCAATTCTCGACAAACATAATAATTGCAATTGGAAGTAAATGGATAACTACATGAGCAATATTCCCAGAAATTCACATTAGACAAAGAAATGATTTCACTCTAAGCATTTCATTTACGTAGAACGGTGCATCTTTCGGAAAACAAGGAAAGAAAATCACGGTAAGATGTATGTACAATTATTTCTAACAATCAATGTTTGAACAATATAAAGAATCTTAATCCTTAGGCATAATTTTTACACTGTAGAAAACATTAATATCAAGAATATTCTTCCCAGGCCAAGAAAAAGTACCATAATTATTCTGGTTTGTCTCCCAAACAAAAGTATGCAGAGTTGCTGACCAAATTATTGAAAATAATGACTTGAAAACATGGTTTTGTCCTTTTGGTAGTATTTTATCATAAGAGTTGGTTTCTTGTCTCCCATGGTTTGTATGCAAATACACATATAAGAAGAAAGTTCATTCCCGAAAATAATATTCGAAACTACATGATTGGCTTGGCAGATATCTTGTAGAGAGAGGGCCAATAGTAACAAGGTAAAGTTCCTAGTGGTCATAATTCATTCCCAAATGATGTTTACGGAACCGATAGAGAACCGAACTCTAAATCATTGCAACGATTATAATGACGAACTTTTGTGGCTGGTAATTAACTCTATGCTGATATGAAGAACATGGCAACAACATAATCTTCTTCATCCAAAGAACACAATGAACACCCTCTTTAATCAATTCAATGTAGCCCAAATCATCACACCAATTGGTTCAGCAATAAATAAAAAGCTAAAATAGGGCAAAAGATACCCTGCGTTTAAAAAAAAAAAAAATTATGAACTGTGATTCATGACTAGATAAAAGCCAGAGTTCCCAAAAATTAATTCTTTTTTAAAAGAAAAGAAGCTCAAATCTCAAAAGCAATACTAAGACAAGAAACCAACAAAACGAAAAACAAAGGAAGCCAATGATCAAATCTCATCGATAATTTTATCAGATAAACCAAAATTCAACAATCAAGCCTAAAGAACTAAAAGCATTCCAAAATGCATAAACATTAATCAAATTTCTTTTTTGGAAAAGCCTCAATTAGCATTAATACATGACATTATATCAAATCAAGTGATATAAATCCAAAAAGGGAGCTGGGGATGACATTTTTAAAGCCAAAGCAAAGACGAGCCATAAACCAAAAAAAAGAAACTTACTGTCAGGGCCGCCGAGCTGAGTAACAGCATCGACGAAACGTTCATGGAGGTCGGCAGTCCATCGGAGTCGGGGCTTGGGATCGGTTGTTAGGACCAAACAAGCATCACCAGGCAAGTTTGTACCATCAAGCGACGCTTGATAATCTCCCACCCTTCCATCCAACGCTAACGACCGAATAACCGAGTACATTTCTTCTTAAAGCTTTATTTTTTTTCCCAGAAATGCAGGGCAAAATCAATCAAAGTCAATTAGTTGGACTCTTTTCCGGGTATCCGATTGGGCACGGAGCGATGTTTGAAGGAGAGAGAAAAGGAGAAGCAACGGGGAGAGACACGGAAAGAGAGAGAAATATAAAAGCGAAGTGAGTGAATATTGAGGCATGCAGAGGCTTAGACAGCGATGTGTTGTGTCGTTGTCTTTGTTCTCTCACTTTCGACTCTCTCTCTCTCTCTCTCTCCCTCCCCCTAATATATTAATTAATTTATTTGATTAATGTATTGGGTAAATTACACAAATAGTATCTCCGTTTATATTATGTCATCGAGTTATTACTTGAAATATTATCTCGCGAGTCAGTGTTTAAAAGCAATACGGTGTCAATAGATATTATTAAAATATTATTTTATCATATTTTAATCAGTAAATTAATGTTCAGCTCAGTCAAAACTAGTTTTTAACATAAAAATATGAGTTTGGAGCATACAAACAATAGGATGACAATTTTTATAATTTTTATTGGTTGAAAGATTCAATAAAATATTACATATAGTCGAGAGATATTTTATAATTTTTAATAGTTGAAAAACTAAACAAAATAATATCCTATAACTAATGGATATTTGTGAACTTTATCCTAATTAATATTGTTATTCTTGTAGAATATATATATTTCATCATAAATTAATTTTTAATCCGTTCAATATGATTTTAAAAAATGTTCTTATTATCGGTTTCTCAATAGAATAAATTATTTGTTTGATAAATCTTGATTAAATACAAGGTAGTATAGGTTTAAAAACTCTCGATATTTGACAATAAATGTTCATATCATATAAATATGATGTTCGAATCTAAAATCTCAAGAAATAACAGTAAATTTTTTAACTACATGACTTTTAATGTGATAAATTTATGATATATAATAAAACTAGATTTTATCATATTTATAATGAATAAATAACAGTATTCTATACAAAATATATATAAAAGTTTGTTTAATAGTTAATCAGTGGTTGAGTAATAAAAGTAATATATACGAATGGAATAATTTTATGTTTAAAATATAAATTGTGTTTTAATTATTTTATTTAAATTTAAAAACTATATAAAATATTAATAATATTTAAAAATATATTTTTTAATTATTTTAACTTAAACTTATATCTAGTTCATCTATAACCTAATCTAATTAAATATTTTTTAAATTATTAAAAAGTTATCATAAGATAATATTTATTCAAAATAAATGTTTTTAGTAAGTTGACAATGTATGTGTATCTCGTTGTAGTAACTATTCAAACTGTAGTCCTCTAAAGATAATAACATTTTTTTAATCATTAAAGTCACTTAATAAATTAAAAAAATTATAATAATAAATTAATCATTTAAATTAAAACAAAAGGATATCGAAATTTTAAATATAATAATAATATATCGAAAACAAGTTGTGATATATTCAAAAGATGTGTTTATTGGGTTGAAATGAGAATGGTTGCATGAGGTTATTATGAAAATGGCAAATATGGGGCTAGGTTTTGATTAAGACATTTGAGGTTGAATTGAAATAAGTTTAGATTATAGTATTTTCCATGAAGTTGCATTGAAGAAGACAATTCAAGCTATTTTATCTAACAATTGGCATACAATTTTCTAAAACTAATTTCATGCTTTTTATATGATAAGCTCAGTTTCGTCGCTAAATGTTATTTCATACTCCAATTGGCTTCGAATTATATCGGCCAGGTTATACAAGCCCTTGGAGTTTTTCTTTACCTAAATAAGTCCCTGTTCTTTTATGTTAACTTATAAAACCCCTTAATTTAGGTTAATTGGTATTTTTTTATGACATAAATTGAAAATTGACAAAATACGTATTTTTAATAACATAATAAGAAAAGAAAACTTATTACTAGATTATATTAGGATTAACTCGAACGTTGCTACATGTATAAAGAATATACAACAACTCGTTGAGAGGATTAAGAAAATTATGATATCTAAAAGCTGTAACTTGTAAGAATCATATATGTCGTACAACTTTGTTTATGAAAAAAGTGGACTTTTTGCATCTTTATATAAATTTATACATAACATGTTATTTTAATGATCCTTAAAAAATTGTTGTTTTAATTCAGGGTAAATTATCCCATTAATCACTAAATTATTGAATATGTTTTGTTTTGATTATCGAATTAATTTTTTTTATAAATTTAATTATGAATATTATGTTTTGATTTCAATTTAATCACGGATTGTGAAATTGATAATAAAAATTAACCTTTTTTAATTTTGTATAATTATATATTCAATTCTCAATAGTTATAGATTCTATTAGTTTAACATTAGTTCCAAATATAAAAGTTTAAATATATTAAACTATTGAAAATTATAATCAAATGGATAAGATTTATAAAAATATTAAGGATTATGCGTAAATATGGAGGTCAAATTAATAGTATTTGCACATATGAAAGGTAAATTTATTAAATTATTAAATAATTATTTTTTAGTTTTAGTTTAATGATAAATCAAGACTTTGATCAGTGACAAGATTGAATGATTGTACATATTATTTTTGTTCCATTTTATCTTGGAACGGTAGGGGATGTCTCATGTACGATAGTCTTAATATACGGTTAAAAAGGACTTCATCGAAAATATTAATATTTTTTAACATTTTCAGTAAAGCGCTAGCTAAAACATTATTTTTTTTTATCGAAAATGTTAATATTGGACGCTACCGAAAATGTTTAACATTTTTGATAAAATGTTACATAAAATATTATTTTTTCTACCGAAAATGTTAATATTGAGTTTTACCAGAAAATAGTAAGTGAAATTAACATTTTCAGTAAAAAATAATATTTTAGTTAGTACTTTACCGAAAATATTAAAAAAATATTAATATTTGCAGTAGGTTTTTTTTAACTGTATATTAAATCTGTCGTACAATAAAACTACCATGAAACTATATCCAATTATTATTATTATTATTATTATTTGAAAGGAGTATCCACTTATAAAAACAATACACTGAGGCATGCTTAGGTTAGCAGACAAGCCACCCTATTGAAAAGTGACTAATTCGACTAGATTAAGGCTTAGTTTGTTTTTACTGTGCAAGCTTTTTAAACCATTTAAGTCTGTGTCGCGCAGACCACGCGAAGATATTAGGCTTTGCAGACTATTTATTTTTTAGAAGACAGAAGCTCTTCAAACGTATGCACGAGCTCTTCTTGATGCATACATTGTTTTATGTCTTCAAAGGTCTTCAAGAACAATTATAAAATATAGTTATTTATTAAAATAATTTTAAATAATTTAATAAGGTTATTTATTTTAAAATAATTTATTTTAAAATAATTTATTATAATTTTATTTTAAAAAATTATTATAAAATATGAATTGATTTATTTTAAATAATTTATTAGTATGGATTGATTTATTTTAAAATATGGATTGATTTATTTTAAATAATTTATTAGTATGAATTGATTTATTTTAAAATATGGATTGATTTATTTTAAATAATTTATTAGTATGGATTGATTTATTTTAAAATATGGATTGATTTATTATTGTAGTTGTATGGATTGATTTATTTTAAATAATTTATTAGTATGGATTGATTTATTTTAAAATATGAATTGATTTATTTTAAATAATTTATTAGTATAGATTTATTTATTTTAAAATATGGATTGATTTATTTTAAATAATTTATTAGTATGGATTGATTTATTTTAAATAATTTATTAGTATGGATTGATTTATTTTAAAATATGGATTGATTTATTTTAAATAATTTATTATTGTAGTTGTATGGATTATTTAAATTTCAATATTGTAAAACTAAAATTATTTAAATTTCAGTATTGTAAAACTCTTTTAAGTTTAAAAAATCAGTTTATTTATATTTCAGTTCATTTTAGCAGTCTGCATACGTTAAAAAACAAACAGTCTTCTTCTTGTAGATTGCAGACTTTTGGTCCACCTCTTCTGCTTCAGATGTCTGCAGATGTGGTCCGCAGACTGTAAACCTTTTACCTCTGCAAAAACAAACACCACCTAAAACTACTAAAATATATATGAATTATCTTTTATATACTTTTTGAATTTTATAACTTCATTAGTATTAAAAACTAATATACTAAAAATCAATTTGCGATGAATGATTATTTTTAACTGAGCATATTTATTTAATAAATCAAAATTTATGTTTTTGTAAAGAACCAATATTATTCAAGTGATAATTATCATTAATAACAATCAAAATACATAAGAAATGTATGAATCAAACGATCTGTAAAAGAAATATTGTTGTTTCTTGATAGTCATGAGTTTAAGTATTAAAAATTCTAAGGGATTGAGTTATCTTTGAAAACACACACACACATATATATATATATATATATATATGACCTTTTGTACTTATTAATAAAAAAAACATATAAAACATTTTTTTAACTAAAGTAACCTGTTTGAGATAAGACTATCCTAACCAGACAATTAATTAACCATCTAATTAGCATCCCTCTGAGTTTAATTTTTGAGAATAACATAGGTAGGGGGAAAAAATTGAAAAACGGAGGTGTTTGAGAATTATTTTAGGATCTAGGTTATTTGCTCGAGTGCACATTAAACTTGCCATATGGATATGACGAGTTTCATAAAATATATTTAAAAAATAGATATTATCATATGAGTTGAAACAAAATTATATGAAACTTTCATAGACACCTTCATGTGACGAATTTCATACCTATTATAATAAATTTTTAGATCTCAAAATAATTTTCAAACACTTATTTTTTAAATTATTTTCGCGCCCACCCTATTTAGGCAATGAAGCCTCCCTTTGAATCCATAAATTGAAAATAATTGACCATCTATCAATTTTTTTTTTGAAAAGTGTATATTTTGTATGATATATAATGAGAGTTCATATAAAACAGGATATAATGAGAGCATCGTTAAAAAATCTCCCTACCCTACACGGAGGAAAAAGATTGTTCATACGATGTCAAGTTAAGCATTCAAACATCATGAAAATCCACTTATAAAAGCTTACAAACGAAACAAAGACGACAGACCACTCTCCGCGA